CTGTCCTAGGTGGCTCCTGCCGAGCATCGTCCTCTGTCTTCACAGCGCCTTAGGAGATAATCTATTCCTACCCACTGTTGTACATAACTATAGTATATTTATATATACCATGTACACCATTTAAATATTTTGTATAATTTAACCTATTTCTATATTTCTAATCTATTTCTATGCTATACTCTCTTTCAGTATAAAAGCTTGTCTTCATGAGACACGGTGCAACAGATAAGAGGTGGCAAGGTGAACCTCTAAGTGTAGTTTTCTTGCCTGGAAACCCGGAGCAGATGACAAGTACTCTCTGCTCCTTGTGTTCCTCACCTGTAACTCCCTTCCCTGCTTCAGCAGCCTCTCAGTGCTGGGAGCCTACAGATGAAGTCACCTCCATAAAAAACATCCTGAGGCAATACTCTTTGACATACTAAGAACTATCTTGTTCATCATAATTTGCTCGCTAAATTACCTTTGTTTAATCAAGAGGCTCCTCATGGTGCCTTACAGAGTCCCTTAAGGCTGATTCATTGCAGGTACCATTTGTTCCTATTTTTAATATAATCACTCTCTCAGCCCTCTTGTTTAGTAATTAAAAATAAAATGGTATTGAACCTACCTTATTTTTGGTAGGCAGTTTCCCATCCTTCCACTGGATCTCTGCACCCTTGGGTAGGCAATCTTGGTGTGGTTTCCCTACTGGCTGAATTGTTTTCTATACTGGCTGTGTTACAGAGTGAAATGCAGCGACCAGAGAGGCTCATTATCTCTCACACCGTAAGTGTATGCAGCACCCAGATATTGTGCACCTAAAAAACCCAAAAAACCCAAAGTCTCCACCACAGGCAAGCACTGACGAGTGGGGGTGGGAGAGGAAGAGGGGGGAAATGGATGAGTGACGTGGCTTCCTGGGGCGCAGGGGCCACCAAGCGCGTGCTGGTGCCGGTGGCCTCCACGAAGTACCTAGTGGGTTGCAGCATGGACTCCCCCTAGGATGCCTCGACTGAAATAGCAACCTGGGGTGCTCTCAGCAAGAGGAAACCACATGCCTAGCCATCTTGTGCTTCTGAGAAATGGTGTGACAAACCAAATGGTAAAAAAACCAACCTTCAACCCCAACGAAGCACAGCCTTTTCTACAGAAACTTTCCAATGCAATCTGTTTTTGCTTCCTCCTCTCCTCTTTGTCTTTTTTTATCACTTTTTCTTCCTCCTGAGCTACAGGGAAGAAGAAAAATAGAAGAACCAGAAATACAACTTGCAGGGCTGATGGTTCAGGGAATAAGTATTTTCTAATTCACACATTGTAATTGTGGTACATTGCTGGGAAAGAAAAAAAAAATCTCTGTAAGACTTCAGGTGTCTGCAGCAATTTCATCAAAACACAGAGGAAAGAGCCGATGGGCAGTTAACCGGACAGTTTCACAACATGTGCTGTCCCCCGGTAACATGATTTTGCAGATCGATGTACTCCACCATGAGCTAGGTCTCGGCTAAGCAACACCCCTCCTTTGTTTCTCTTTTGCGCTTGCTAGGCAGTCCCACACCAGATTTCAGCGCCAGCAGCTGTAATTTGCAGTCCTTTACTGCAGCCGACGGCAGTGTGGTGGCGGAGGGAGGGAGCAGCGTTTGGGAAGAGATCACAGATCAAATAACTCCAAGTCAAACACGACCAAGGATGAACAGCTGTGGCTGCGTACAAACTACCCTCGTGCCGTCTGATCTAAAACTTGTGCACAAATGTGACACTTCGTCTGTAACCCTGCCCGAATGAACATCACCTGGTCCTGCAGCATCCCTTGGCCACTGACTGCAGGTCCTGCCGCAGCCCACCCTGATGCAGCGACCCAGGCTGGAGCGTACATCCGTAGATGCAGCTACTGTCTTTACCCTAGTATACTGCAGCTCTCCAAATCCAACCGAGATGTAGAGGGATTTGCCGTACGCAGGCATCATTTATGAACTTGTTATAAAGTGCCAGGCCTGTTCAATTGCATTTGACAAGCTGCTTCCCAAGAGTGGTACCTACTACTAGTACTGATGGACCAACCTCCAAAAGTCACTACAATTCAGCAGTGGATGAAACCATCTCCCTCTCTTTTGTTCTCTTTACAGGCAATGCCTTGAGAGGCAGCACTGAACCCTGCTGACAAGGTAGGCAGCTACCCGGTTGTTAACCTGGGTTTGGGTGGTTGGAAAACCAATGTTTTAGATTGATGGTTGACAAAACAATGTTTTAGACTACAATTCTGCCTGAGTGGCTACCATCGGCAACATTTTCCAGAAGTTCAGCTGTGTGATTTATCGATATCATTAGTCACTTGGGCTGTGTGGAAATGTTGTCATTTAGTGACTGTGCAATTGATTCTTGTATGTCCTTTTTTGATTTACTGGGAACTAGAGAGACCATCCTAGTGCAGCAGAAAGGAAGGGAAGAATGTGAATCACTGGGTTTTTCAAGCAGTGGTTATCTTCCGCCTAATTTATTCCCAAGCTTTCACTGGCTTTGGAAAATGCCTGAAGCTCAGGCATGGTGTGCAGTTCTCAGAAATGAAGCTGCTGTGCAACTGAAGCAGGAGAGCATGGGATCTGACTGACAAGCAAGGAGGAGGTCTGTAATCCACCAAAAGTCTATGCAAAGACTAACAGATCAGGAACTGTCTGAACTGCGCTTCAAGATACACTCACAAAATTGAAATGAGTGGTGGGGTTAATGAGTGGACCTCACATTCCGGCCTGCCTTATATTTAAAGTAATGCATCAACTGCTGATGTTGGCTGGTCCCTGGAGGAAGGGGGGTCAGAAGGAGATGCTGCAGCAGTCGGATGCGCATGCAGGCACACACGCACATGGGCTGGGAGGGAGGTCCCTGCATGTCTGTGTTCCCTGTGGTGTCAGGAACTGTCAGGGGAGAGGCAGAGCCTGGAAGGAGCAGCCAGCGTACGTGGCTCTTTATCACCAGGTAGGGGATGCTGTAAACAATTTAAAGTCAACACATTTTTCCAACAGCAGTAGCCATCTCTATCCTTTGCTTGGATGTTACTAAGAGTGAAGGCTTGCTCTTTATTGAAAGATGTTTGCTGTAGCAGCACCCAGGTTTTCAGGGTTATTTGGAAGGACTTTTGGAAGATTAGAGTGTTTCTGGCAGAAGATAAAACGGTTAAAGCTGACAAGAACTTTTCCTATGAGCAGAAAAATACATCAACTGGGCTTGCAGTTCTTTTTTACATCGAGTGCAGTTCCTTTTGTGATCACTAAGTGGTGAAGTTAAGCTACGAGGACTTCAACAGTGTCTGCAAGCTTATGGAAAGCTCTTCTGTTGATCTTTTTTAATAGGTCACTCACACCCTGCTAGGAGGCTTTGGTGCAAAAGGACATAGTTTCAGCAAATCTTTAATATTTTTTTCAGTTTTGGAAGTTCTGAGAGACTGACAATCAGAAATTAAATGTTTGCTTATGAATCTCCATTTCAAGGCTGGCAGTTTTCCCTCTGACTTGGTCCGGAGCCTGTTGAAGCTATTGGCATTGCTTAATAGCTGTAAAATGGTCTGGCAAACCCCACAAGAACAGTTTTTCATTGATTTCACATTTTGGTCAGGCCAGAATGCCCGTCCAGAAATCTTGCAGGAAAATGCAACTATGAAAATAAGGAAAGGAAGGGAAAATGAGATGTGATACCTCAAAGGAAAAAGACAATAGTATGAAGCAATCACAGTTTGCAGAGTGATGGGAATGAATTATTGAACCTATTCAAAAGCACCTCCAAAATAATTCTTTAGAGGACTACTGATAGTTGAGCTGTTTCTGTTTTCAGATAATTAATTACCACTTGGGAGAAGGAACTATGTATGTGTAAGCATGTCTGACAATTTTTTTTGTCGCGTTATGATTTGGGCCCATTGGCTTCCCCCAACCTATTTGCATGATTCAAGGTTAATCTGTGCAGCAAATAAACATTTTTAGTGCAATTATAGTCATTTGGAGTAGTAAGAATTTGCAAAAATGTAAGCCACCTAGTCAGAAAGTAGAAACATGAAACACAGTTTACCAGTACAAGTTTGATTAGCAAATGAGGTCTCACTGGCTGGTTGCCCCACCACGCGGTGCATGAGCAACCCACGGGCTGAAGGTTTTGTTGGTTTCAGCAATGTGATCACAGCTGCAGGATAAGAGAAACACAGGCGTAAAAATGACAAAGCAAAAAAGCACAAAAACAATGACTCAAAATGCTGTGTGAGCTATTTTTATGTCATCTCAAGGTGAAGGTGGAGAGGAATGGGTGTGCTTGCGGGACGGCAGCCCTGTCTTTCTTAGGGGCAGGGCTGGGGAAGGAGCACGGACCTGCTGAGATGGGGGCAACCTCAGTGGAGGAGAGAGGAGGCCAAGGCTCTATTTCTTCCCCGAGGCAACGTATGACCTGGGGGTTGGGCGCTTGGCTTGCTCTGGTCTCCTTACCTGGAAAAAGAGTTGCATTACAGTGGCATCAGCAGCTCCTGGGTCTCCACTGATTTACACGTGGAGTACAGACCCCTAACTGGGTCCTCTGAGTTTCATGTTGGAGACATTTGTAGTACTCATTGCAGCATGACTATTGACCTGAGCTCCTTTCCCTGAGCTCAGGTCAGGGCCAGGGTGACCTTTACTCCTGCCCCTCACAGACTGACAGGCATCGGACATTCAGCCGGCTTAGAAATCTGGGCTTTTATTTAGGCACTTGCAAAAACCTAACGTTATGGAAAAGGCACTTGTGAAAAACCCAGCCTTGTAACCCCGTTACCCCATCTGTCTACCAGCCCAGCTGGGAAATCTTCAATTTCTGACATTTGTTGTCATGTAGCCCAAAATTTTTGTTGTTCAGCTGAGTGCCAGAGGGCAGGAGGTTTTTATGAGATGCCTCTTACCGTATGTGCAGGGAGGGGGAATGTCCCTAGAGTAAGAGTGAAGCGTATAAAAAAGGGGAAGCTGCGCTCAATGGATCAGTCGCTCGTTCCTCTCGCTGAGGTCACAGCTAAGATGATGGTCGCTTGCCTGCTCCTCTCCAGCATCTGGACCGTTGCGTCAGGTAACTCCCTTGTCTGTCTGTCTGGATTGTTACTGTAACGGTGTTAGGGACCTCGGTCGCCCTGCTAGCCTGCTGCTGTGCCGCTGGGTGCTGCAGTCCCCCCCCTCGCATCCCCTGGGGCGAGCCCAGCGGTGACAGGGCACTTGTGGCACTGCACGCGACTGCACCGCTCGCATGGGGCTTCAGACATGTCACTGCTGGTTGCCTTGACAGCATCCTCTCCTTAATTTACCGCCAGTGCATTTATAAGCTGCAGGCAGATGTATGAATTTATTGCAATTTGCAAATCATAAACCAGGCAAATGTCCAAACGCTCCCAAAGACCCCAAATGACTGAAGTTTGATTTAATCTCCTGTTGTGGCTGGGATTTGGGTCAGAGTATGGCACTGATTTGCTTTAGCCAGGACAGAATTATTTGTAGTGGTGGACATGGTGCTTGTAGGTGTCTGCTCAGGCCACCGAAAGTGTGGGTGTGTTACATTTGGTTTTGTAATTAAAAATCATGTAGAAAAGCCTGAATTTGTTTCAAACTAACTTCCATGATCATGGTTTGTATTCTGCCTATGGCACTACTGAGCTCTGAAAAGCAAAATGACTGGCACAGCTTCACAGCTGGTTTCTTGGTCTCCTGCGGAGACCTGCCAGGCCATGGCCACAGCCACAGAGGGGGCAGGACCTAAGCGAGCTTTGTTGGGTGGGTTAGACAAGTGTACCTCTGGGCACTGCAGACAGCCTCACTCCTCTTTAAAATCTGCAAAGATATTTCCCTTTCTTTTAACTGAATTATATGTTTTCAGTGCTGTAACTGTCCCTGCTGATATCTCCCTTCCCATGCTGATGTACACAAATAAACTTTAAAAACTATTATCCTAAGAGGACTACGGAGCTGAGCTGTCAAACCTGGGAGTGTCCATTTTGATTGCCTGTCCCCTTAATAGTTTTTCCACATGTGTCTGTAAACTGGAAAAGGAGACTGTTTTGTTTTTTTTTTCTTTTCCCTGGAGACCTTTAATACCATGGCATTTATGCTATGAAAGTTTTCCGTCTGTAGACCTTCAGCAGGGTCTCAGCTGCTTACCAGTTGCACGGCCTCAAGCCCGAGATAGGAGGACGGATGCAGTTTGCCTCTGGTCCTCCCTACCTTGCTTTTTCCTTCTGGTTTTCTGTTCTCTTGTCAGTCTTTGACAAATGCGGATGCATGATGTATAGTGATACACACAAGAATTTTTAGCAGCTTTACTGATTCACTTCTCACTGTGCCGCAGGAGGGCTCAGAGAGCGCTAATGGGCCTGTGGCCATTTGGGCATTAGCACGGCTGAACGTTTAGGGAACCTCTCCATGGGTGCCCATGGGATAGCAGTCTTAGCAGACAGAAATCAGTCACTCCTGACGTTGGAGCTGTCTTTCCTGGTGGCGCTTTCTATAGCACAGGTATCAGGCTGGCGAGATGCTTTGTGTGAGAGGTGTCAGGCCCAGCAAAACTCTCAGGGCAATTCTTTTGAGCTGCCTTTTCATTTTTTCCCTGGATGGAGGGGCAGAGACCCTCTGGAGCTGCTTTGCTCAGGCATGAGGGTGAGGGGCTGGGGGGACTCTGCTGGGGGTGGGTTGCAGAAGGGTGGTCAGAAATGCTGAGTGCAGTACCTGCTTCTCCCCCAGGCTCCGTGCAGGTGATGCACAGAAAGATCCAGTCGGTCCGGGCAGGAGGAAACATTACTTTTTCATGCCGGTCGGTCACGAAAGAAGATGTGCTACAGGTGACCTGGCAGAAGGAGACAGATGGGGCTGAAGACAACATAGCGACTTACAGTAAAATGAATGGCCAAAAGATAGCGAAGGGTTACGTTGGCCACGTGAGCTTTGTCCACAGCGAGTTACAAGCCTCGGCCATCTCCCTTAGTGGAGTCACCCTCCAAGATGAAGGATGCTACAAGTGCATCTTCAACACGTTCCCCTCGGGGGCTGTCACCGGCAGGATGTGTCTCAAGGTTTACGGTAAGGCATCATAATCGTGTATGGGCTGTCATCTGAGGACCAAGTCATTTTCCCCGGGAAAAACCTTCCCTGACCACTGGTCATTGCTAAATTGCTGTGGGAAAGGTGGCTCAGATTCCTCTCTGGCTCCCCCTCCCTTTCTAGTTTTACCTTTGATGGGAAACCAACGTTCAACAGTTCTTTAATTTTCTTCCCCTTTAAGTTAATAACAGTGAAACCCAAAAGCTGACGTGTAACCCATGACTTACTCCAAGTTTCCCTGGCTGTGTGCTGTGCTGACAGCTGGCCTGCCGCAGCCGTGAACCCCATGCTCCTCTGCTTCCTTTCACTGCTGCTGTCACCTCCGAAGCCTGGAAATCAGGCACTTTTTTCTTACTCTGCCTTCGGTCTTAAAAATTTAAAATATCCAAAAAGCAGAGCGGCATATGTGTGACCAGAGAATCTGGAAGCTGATTTTGAAGCTATAGTAAAAATGACAGTAGTTAGGCTGGGCTCAGGAAAGGGTTGCAAAAAAAAAAGGCTGAAATACAGTGCAGCTTGTGGGCTTTGCCACATGAATATCTTGTGCAGGTCAGCGTCAATTAGCTTCAAGAAGTGAGTTAAATAATGAGTCGAGGTGGCAATATTTGACACCTCTATATGAAATCATCAGCTAGCCAGTACAAGCTGAAATACAGACAAATAGATGAACTCAAAAGGAACAAGAGTGAAAAGCTGTTTATCTTTTGAGGGAGGGTCTTGGTTTTCTGACAGTGAGGAAGCTGAGACATTAAACACACCCTGAGGACACCCTGTTGGCTCCTGACTTTCTCATCGGTGACTCTGCTGTGGGGACGTTGGCCAAAGATCATGTCCCATGTGGAAAATATCAGTGTCTGGGACCTGCTGCTGGTGGTATGATGCCTGCAGAGTATTTTGTTTATCCCTAGTACCTTCTGTGGACAAAGACACAAACACATATGCCCACACACATACCCACATGCCAGGAGTCCTCTGCGTGGACAAAAAGATGCTCCTGGCTTATGGGGGAAAGATGACCTAAGCAATAGGGGAAAGCGGGGGGCGGGGGGAATATGAGGGAAAACCAAGCCTGGAACAAAAGTTCTTTTTCCTCTCTCTTGGGAAAGGTCCTAGAGCAGAAAAGAGAAATTAGGAGAAATTCACTCAGTATTTCAGATGTGAAGAGGAAGCTGTTCCTAAAGACACCCAGCCCTGAGTCATTCAGAGGGTAAACACTGATTATACAATACAGGAAAATGTGGAAGTGCCTTGCAGAGGGATCCCATTCTTGTTTATCATGTAAATCCAAGCACGGAGTTATGTTTGTTTTGTTTCATTTGTTTTTTATCCAAGTGGGGGAAATATTTCCCAAAATCACCAGCCTTGTGGCTATGATTCATCCTTTAACAGAGCACTACTTTAAAAAAAAATGTTTTTCTGCTGCTACACACACTCCTGCAAGCATCTCTTCCTGCATCTTGGATGAAAACGCATCAGCTGAGAAGGGTTTCACTTCTCCCGCAGGCAGGCTGCTCCTGCTGCACCAGCACAGACTCACGGGCCACTGCCAGGGGCTGGCTCACGGGGGTCATGGTGGCCTCCCTGAAATGTGCTTCATCGAACATGTCCTGGAGGGTCACCATGAATAAACTCAGTGTTCGGCACTGTGACAGAAGATTTTGGTTCACATATGGTGTATTTCACTGAAGCTAATTTAAGTGATGCTACTTAAAAGCCACAGTCTTACTCCCTTATTCCCCAACTCATAACGATGGGAACAACTTGCCTGAACAAGCCCAGAGGACTCCCCAGGATGGATTGTGA